TTTATTTTATTTTTTTACGACCCACAGAAAATGAGAGAGAGAGAGAGAGTACAAAGTCAAATTTTACAGTCTCCTGCATAATTCGCACCACGAAAAAACAATGGACAGGGTTCACCTTTATTTGCATGATAAACGCGATTTCGAATGTATACACTTACATTGGAGTCTAAAAAAGAATGAGAGAGAGAGAGAAAGAGAGAGAATGAAAATGATTCTTTTACGAATTGGTGCAGGAGGGCTATTCGCACGCGTTAATATTCATACGAACCCTGACTGTTTGTGGTGTCTCCTCTTTTTCTCTCATTCGTTCTCGTTCTTTCGGCCTTCGGACGACCTGGCTTTCGTTTATTTTAACGCACCTGAGAAAGAAAGAAAAAAAAAAAGAAAAGAGAGAGAAAGAAAGAGTGGACGAACGTGGAATTCGAACGCCACCCGAAAACGACGACACTCGGCCTCGAAACAGGGACGGACACCTAAAGTCGTTTTTCATTCCTCTAAAACTTTTTTTAATCTCTCATCTTATAATATATTCAAAAATATAAACAATTATAATAAGAATTTAAAAAATAATAATAATAATAATTAGATACACCCATTTCTCTTTACCACCAATTTGGATGACATTTTTTTTTTTTTAAGAAAACTTTGAAGAAATTTATCATTTGATAAAAGGTTTGGCAAAAGGTGAACAATTTGATATAATAGTTGATTAAAATATAGAATAATTTTTGGTATTTTACATTAATCCGCCCCTGTTGAAGAAGATCCTAAGGTAAGATCATATTTTCAGTGTTTTGGAGTACATTTAGAGAAACGGGAGTCGCGTTCTTCCTCATGGCACCAAAAATGGAAGAAGACACCGGAGGGAAAGATCCAGAGCGTGCGTCGGAGAGTCCAAACAGGAGGAGACGACGACGACGTGGCCAAAGATCTGAGGTTTCCAGTAGAGGAACCTTCTCTTCCTTCTCTCTTATTCTTTCTATCTTTCTCTGTCGATGTTACGCAGAGAATTCGAGGCAGTCGTTAGTATGCTAATGAGCGTCTCTCGTTTCTTCTCTTGTGAGAGAAATGTGCGCCCGCGCACCAACTTAAATTATTTCAAATATTTCCGAATCTACCCAGTCTACCAGAAAGAAAAAGAAAGAGAGAATAAGAGAAAGAGAGAGAGAAAGAGAGGTTCTATTTTTTTTTTCTTTTCTTAGATTAACCTTAGGATTTAGAAGTTGTAATAGGAGTCTCTTTGAGATCTATTAACGTCAAAATCTTATCATTGGTGTTTATTTATTTTTTTACTTTAAATAAATATAGTAATTGTTAACTATATTTTTTTATATATATATTTTTATAGTAATCGTAATTGTATATTACAATTTTTAAATATATTTATATTAAATTAATATTACTATATTAATATATTTAATTAAATATAATAATTGTATACTACAGATTTTTAATATATATATTTTTATAGTATCCTAATTGTTTTATTATATTTTTAAATATATCTATCAAATATAATATTACTATATTAATATATTAAATTAAATATAGTAATTGTATACTACAATTTTTACTACATATATTTTTAAAATATCGCAATTATTTTACTACATTTTAAATATTTCTATCAAATTAATATTTCATATCTACTAATCTATCTAAAAAAAAAAAATTAATATTCCTGATACAATTTTATTCGAATAAATATTCTTACACATTATACCTATAATTAATATTATTTATAATATTTATAATACTTGCAAAAATAACTAGTTAAACTTGAACAAAAGTTTGACAATAGATCCTCAAAATTGAATTAAAATTTACTAATAATTGAATAAATGATTCAAAGAATAATTTTGAAACAGTTTCAAAGACTATTTTAGTGCATCATTTCGATATCAGTAGTAGCAGTAATCTCTCTCTCTCTCTCTCTTTCTCTTTGAAATGGCGCCCGTTATATATCTCGAGATAAGATCGAAATCCTTAGGAAGACCCGTGTCTCTCTCGTTTCGAGAATCCCCTATGTGACGTTCCTTACACGTACCCGCGGCAATATTAATTTGGACTGGACTCGCATTCGTTTTATATAATCACGATCCTTATCTATACATTTTTTTGGTTTTATCTTATTCGAACATTTTATACGAAGGACGTGGGCTTAGCGAATTTCGCCCGCCAACAGCAGCAGCAACAGCACATTTTTAAGACTATTTAAAACGTTTCCTTTCATAAAACTTTCTGTAGAAAGAAAAAGAAAAAAAAACAGAAGTCGAGTTAAAAAAAACACACAGCAAACTATAAAAAATGATCGTCTTTCGAATTTCGAAAGAAAAAAAAAAAAGTATCTTCCAATTGGACATCTTCTTCTTTGAAACAAAAAAATAAACGAAACCAACCGTGACGAGTTAAATAAGAAAGAAATCATATGCATAAATGATATATATATGTATATGCATATACGCAAGGATTTAACAAATGAGAATACACTTAACGGTAGCGAAAGTGAGCTTGGTTACTTGCTTGCTTGCTTCTACGCGTTTGCAAAAGTGCAAAGGGTAATTGTACAATGTTACCATATTTACGCAACTTACAAATGATTATCATTCGTCCAGCAGTTTACCAGTAATATTCCTATATACATATATTACCATTGTACAAAGTTAACAAATCTATGAGTGTATTTATAAGAATAAGTATTAACGTAGTAAATAAATTTAAAAAAAAACACACACACATATACACATGGTGAGCTTCTAATTTACCTAAAACGTATTTTATCTATTCCACTGTGGTTCTACTTTGATTTGAAAAGAATCGAACGCATATACGATATCTAAGACGAAACGTAGAAGAAGAAAACGATGAATAAGAGAAAGAAGAAGAAGAATAAGAAGAAGAAGAAGAAGAAGAAGAAGAAGAAGACGATGGATACCAGACCATTGCCCGTTGTTGCCTTAATGAGGTCCAATTACTATCGGATGGGTCACTTAGTATGCGGTACCGATATTCTCTCGACGGTGTACCACATTAGTGGGACGAGAGCAAGGGTCAACACCCTTCGGAGAAATAAACCTTGCCTAACGAGACTCCTCTCTTCTTCTTCTGCTTTTCTTTCCTTCTTCCTTTTTCTAACTATTCGAACCTATCGATAGAATAAACTGGGGCCTGCGTTTCACCTGTCTCCGACCTTCTTTCGTCCTAAGATGAACTTTGATCTCTTTCGGAGATCTCTCACTTTGATTTTCCGGGTATATTAACTCTTTTTAAGAGTTTATCTAGAATACTTTTACGATATTTTGTGTTAATGTTTCTTAATCTATACGAATACGTTCTTTTTTTTTTTTGACCCGTTTTACGATTTCGTTTCTAAACGATGATAAAGTTTTATCTAAGTGGTAAAAGTAAAGTAATTAATTTTGTTAATTATACGAAAAAATATTCTGAGTTTTAAAAAATGTACAGTAAAAGTTGGTACTCCCTTTTTTTGTTTAAATAATATATGTAAATATAAAACGCGAAAGAAAAAAAAACAGAAGTTGTACAATTCTTGTTTAACTGGTTCTTTCGAATTTCATATAATTAAAATTGAATTCACAGGGTAATATAGTTGTATAATTAATTAGTTGTTCTGTTTTATTTTTAACATTATTTTTGGTTATTTTAATCAATATATATTATTTAAAAAAAATTAAGGAAAAGAAACTCGAGATTACTTACTTCGTTTTATTTTTTTAAACTATATTTTTAATAATTTGGTTCTTTCTTTCTTTCACCGAGAGTTAAAGGAAAGGTGCTTATTAATCTTGGTTTAGTTCCTTTAAAAAAACTGGAGGCCGCCCGTCGTGTTGCTTTACGATTTCAAGAAGAAACTTAAATATATAAATTTCGAATATAAATCGGATAGAAACGATCTTTGATACCGATACCAACAAATGACAGAGTGGCAGCTGTATTCAAAATACTTCGTTGAAAATTATCAATGTGTTTATGAGATGTTTGCTATATTACCATTTTTTTTTATAATTCACACATTGGATCAAAATCAAATAAAAATTGATAAAAAAAAAGTATAGAAAAGTTAAAGAGAATACGTCGGCATGTTTTTTTTCTCCCGAAACGTTTTAATTGACATCTATTACCACTTTAGGTGTGATTTTGTTCTTTCTCTTTTAGTCAACGTGTTTAGTATTTACGATCGATAGCACGTGATATCGTGCCGATCTCGTCGGACAAGCGAATACGCGATGTCCCAGTAGTTCGAGCGTGCAATTAACCAGACTGAGAGCACTTCCGTACGCAGGGTGAGTCACAACTACTAATACAGTTATCTATGTATATGTCACCATTTTTTTTTCTTACGTAGATAAGAACGATAAGATAATTTAACCCGTTAATACTCGAAATTCAATTCTATAGCAATTTAAAACAATATATTTGTTATTTAATTTGCAAATATATAATATATTTGTATTTTATTGTATGGCACAACTCTTTTATTAATTTAAAAAATTATTTGAAATAAAATATTATTTACCTTTTTGTTAGATATATAATTAAATAAATATATTTGTATTTTATTATATGACACAACTATTTTATTAATTTAAAAAATTATTTGAATTATAATATTACGTAACTTTTATGTTAGAAATATAATTAAATATCTTTGAGAATTTTAAAAAACAAAATAATTAATTTATTTAAGTGTTGCTGGATGTTAATTTATTTCAAATACGGATTACAGTAAAAGAAAATTCCATGAAATTTTTCAAATACTATTACCAATAAGTAATTATTATAAAACGTTCTTATAATGATCATTTTATTGAGATATATTTACTCGTATATTACACGGGTGACTCACCTTGTGTAAATCGTACTACCATTTACGCATAAAACAAGATCATCAACGCTAAGATGTGAGTTATGTTTGTGTGATTATTATTCGATGAAGAAAATAATAAAAATAGAAAAGAAAAAAAGAAATATATTCTTACCTTGCAACCTTCGCACGTGAAAGCACCGAAATGAAATCCAGCAGCTGGCTCGTCACAGACTTTGCACATTTGGTTCATCTGCAAATAATAATAAAAAATTACGTTTTATTTATTGTAAAATATCAAATAAATATAACATCAAGCATTTTAAATAATTCTCAGCTACGTCATAAGATAAAAAGTTAGATGTTTGGGATGGGGGTAAATTGTATGAGTTAGGGTAGGGTGAATGAGTTGGGGTGGGGTGAGGTGAAGTAGCACCGATGAAGTCGAACCGGTTTTCAATGTTCGCTTTTATTTTTATTCCTCCCACAATATCTCTCACGGATGTTCAATCTCGAATTTACACGTATACACATACACACACACACACACACACACACACACATATATATATAGCTTTAGCGAGGAAAAATAACGAGAGACGAGTGATTTTCACGTCGATCAACAACAACAGTTGCGTCAGGTTACGTTTTTCGTCTCATACCCCCTCATCTATTTATTATTGGTTGAAAGAAAAAGCTGACGCAAGTCTTCTACTCGTAATAATCAAACCAATGTATGTTATTCTATCAGTTAGAAAAAGAGAGAATAATGAGAAAAGGGAGGAAAAAGGAGGTTGACTACTATTTTTCGAACGTTAGTTGTTACGTAAAAAAAAAATGACTGGCATCATCGTATATAAAACACATCCGCAATAAGAAAACTATATGAAGTATAATATCGTTCTTTTTTTCATTGATTTTATAGTTGTTCAACATTTCAATATATCTATATGTGCCTATAATTATAAAAATGATATAAATCAAAATTTAAAAAAAGATGCAATGATCTAAGTCAAAAGATACAAAGAAAATAAGTTTATCAGTTATTTTACTCGGTACATTATTTTAAACTAATTAAATTTAATGTATTTGGAAATTTGATATTGTCAAAAATGAATCGTTAAATATTTAATGAAATTCATATATATATAATATATAATTAAATATATAAAATATACAAAATTATATTATTTTATATAAAATTAAAATTTAAAATATATATATATAATATAAATTATAATAAAAATAACAATATATTAGATTTAACATAGAATTCCTTTAATATTTAAATGTAATTCTTTAAAAATATTTCGAAACAAGAGATATATTATGACTTATGGTTAGACCACTTTCATAATTATGGGAACACATATTCTTTTAATACGTTACTTCATTGAAAAAATGTTTACCCTCCTATTACAAATATCTCCAAAAAAAAACATTAAAAAACTCATAGATATTAAATTCAAAAAAAATAAATAAAGATAAACGTAATCGCAAAATGTCAACCCACACAAAAGATGTCGAAGATGTTATCGAATACCAAAAAACAATATCCCCCCCCTTTCTCTCCCTTATTTATTTCCCCCTTTCCTATTCTCTTTTCCTTTTTTTCTTATCCATCGAAACCTTTCTATTTTTTCTTCTTTTTCTATCATTTACAAACGAGAGGAACAACAACAACAACAGATGGGTACCGTAGTCCTAAGTTTTCTCTCTCTCTCTCTCTTTCTCTACTCGTCGTATAAAACGCGTGTATACCAGAGTTAATGGATCCTCTAGTTAAAATTTATCGACAAAGAAGTTACGGCATAGGAGAAAACGTTTTTTTTCACCTCTCTCTATCCAATCGGAGGTGGGGGGGGGGAGGTTTGTAGGGCAATCGAAAGACGTTGACGAAGAGGATCGAGAAAATGTGGGCCCCTGAACTGAACTTAGGGCCATTAGTAGTCGATTCTTTTCCTTCTTCTATTTCTACTTCTACTTCTACGTCTTCTTACAGTACCGTTCGTTCGTTTTCTTGCTTCGTTTTTGTAACGATCGAACCTAAACACACGCGGGTACCCGAACGATCCGATTCAACCTATCATAAATCAGTGTTATCTCTTAGAACCCCTACCATCTACACTAACTTGGACTTCATAGTGTCACAAGGGTTCATGCCGCAGCACTCTCTTTCTCGTGAGAAACTACTCAACCGTGATGTTTTGTAAATATAACTTTTGTTTTTTTATTTTCATTTTTATTCAACCCTTTTTCACAATCCATTTTATTTCATGAACAATGTCTACTCGAATTTCATTACGATTTAATTCCATCTTTTAATTCAAACCAATTTTGTTTTCTTTCATTCAATTAGCCTTCATAAATCGAAAACCGTAGGAATGGGGAATTTTTAGCATACTTTAATTCACAAAAAAAAAGATACAATAAAATGTAAGTGAAATATATTTTCACTATTCTGGTTCGTATAATCGTCATGAACAGTAAAAGGGGGTTAGAAGAAACAAAAGGGGGTACCCAAGATGTTTACTGACATCATCGTACTCCAAGGAAATATTTTAACGAGAATTTAGAACGACGTGTAATTAGAGCAACAGAGGGTTGTTACCATAAGTGTTTTTCTTTATAGCACGTGTACGATTTGCAACCTCCCGCGTTAACCGAGCAACCAAGAAAAAAAAATAAAAAGAAGAAGATGATAAAAAAGATGGTTCTCGGGCTCGATTACGAAGGTTCGTTAAGGTTTTTCAAGTTTTTTCTTGGACGCAGTTGTTTGACGCCCGTTTGCTTCTTGCATTCCGCTCGTTGATGAACCGAAACCCCCATATATATAGTTATATACATACATACATTCATTTATTTCTATTTTCCAATCTAGAATAGTTTTCTACACTTGTTCATTTCACCAGATAGGTGAGTCGTATATCGAACAAATCACAATAGAAATATTTTTCATTATTGCAACTATGAGTTACATTGAAGAACAAAAAAATATAATAATAATTATTGTGATTTATAAATCGATTTATATCAAATCCAATTGTAATCTTAAATAATTCTAGTTATGTAGATAAAACTTCAAAGATAATATAATGAATATAATACAAAGATAACTATCGTATAATTTTTCTGATATCGTAACTATATATATATATATATATATAACGATCAGACTTATAGTTGGAATCGAATTAAAGTGACGGCGACTTTAAACTCGGTTATATATCACGTTTAACGATAAATCACTATGTGAAAGAAGTTGAACCGATTGCGACCTTACTCCGAGGTATTTGTCTATATTCAGTTAACCTGCCATTTAAAGTAAGTTTAAAAGAAAGAAAGAAAGAAAGAGAGAACCTATTGATTTTACAAAAGATGTCACCGACGTGTCCACTCCCTTCCTATCTCATACAAACGTCAGCTTTTATTTGTACGATTTATGTCAAGGATTGTAATCACTAAAATAGTACTTAGTCGGATCCATTTTTGTTCTAAAGAATAAATTCTTTATCCTGATCTATCGTATATTATCATCGCGATTTATCATGGAGAAGGTCGGCCGACATATAAATTCGTTCAATTCAAATAATTTTCTAATCATTTCTAAACACATGTTGTTTAATATTCCAAAATCTTACCTACCCAAATACACATTGTTTTATAATGAAAAAAAAATTGATTTATAATCGATAAACATTGCAATCGTTAGATTAAAAAAATATCATGCATATTTCATTAAACTGTTTTCAACATTTTGTTTAGTTCTAATCTATTACTTGTTCTTAATTTAAAGAACAAGAAAAGAAATGGTTGATAAGTACAACAAATACGATTATTATTCTAATAGTTTTAATAATTTAATTAAAATATATAATACCAAAATTTTAGATATCATTAAACATTGTTTTATCTTACAAAAAATGTAGATATTAAATTGATTCTAAATTACATTCTAATCATACTAATGAACCTACTCTAAATATTCCAAATCATAAAACCTACATTATTTCAAACATTTCGTATAATTTAAGTATTTCTCTCTCTCTCTTCCTTTTTTATTCTTCGAGGACATGAAAAAGCGGGACTCGTGTAAACAGACACATACCTGGTACCCCAGTTTCCACGAGTTAGAGTCAATATTTGCTCGGCACTCGTACGTTAATGAAGTCGATATCGTTTCACTTCTCAACTCGTGAGAGAGACGAGAACATAGAAATATTGTACACTCAAAGCTCTTCACAATTCCTTTCGAGAATGAACATACTAACCGAAGGATAAGAAGGAACAAGAAGAACCTTGATCGACCCTTTCAAGCTCATCTCTTGAACAACCATATACGTACACAGGTAACAGGGGCACGTCCAAGTTTACGCACCATTAAACTCGAGTTCCGTGTGACGTTTATCCCTTCAGGAAAGTCCTCTCTTTTTTACATATCCTTTTTTTTAACCTTCATGTTTCTTTCCCTCTTTTTTTCAGGACTAACGTTATATTCGTATATATGTGCATACGTTCATCGTATGTTCAACGGCAACAACCCTTTTTGACTTTAAGATGAAAATTTTCAATCACATATTTACTAAACCTATACTAATGAATAGTATTCTATAGGATCACATTCTACCTGATTGGTTGGATATCATTTTTTTATCTTTAAAATAATATTACTCGTGTCTGTGTTAGAGAGAAACATTGTAGTGACGATCTGGCGTCTGTGGTATAGTTAGAATCTAGTTCGTTCACTAACTCCGGGTATGTCTAACATTCTTACCGATGATCCCAGGTCGTGGGCAAAGATCTCGCGTGATTTATATCGATCCCTGAGGCTAGGCACGCAACTTACCTTACCACTACAACTACAACTATCATATTCTAACCCTCCCTCTACTATTCATCACTCTTATAAGATATTTTTCTTTCGTAATCATTTTCAATCGATTTTTAGTTAGCCCATCGTTATCCAATTCAATTCAATTTTGATTCAATTTAAATTGAAAAAGAATCTACATTTATATTATTTAAATCTTATACTTTCATACAACCTTTATAAAAAAGAACAACAACTTAATGGCGTTTATTTAATAGTAATTTTTTTTTTGTTTAGTTACAACTTGGTAATTGGTTTGACTTAAAGAGAATGACACGGTTCTGTAAAACACGTCGATCATTATAATATGATTGGATCGTAGTAACGAGTACCAAGACGCGTTGGTTAACGTAACCTATGCGATATAATTAATTGGTGGTATA